TTGAAATACTAAATAGAAAAGATGGCCTTTGAGGAAGAAATTTAGTAACAATATCTGCTTCCTATATCTTCCTCTCAGAGTAAAATTATGTATTTGCCCCTCTAATCAAATGCCTGTACATGACTCAACCCCCAATTTCCTGATTATTCACTTGTAAGTGTCTCTTTTCAAGCATCCCCCACATTTAACAGCTGTCTAACCCCACTCTTGGCAAATTTCTTATTCATGGTTTTGTCACCTTCCCACACTACTGGGATTCTTTCTCAGGAAGAAGGCTCTTGAAGTCTGCCACCCTAGGTTCACTCTCTCCAGGTTCCCAGAATCTGTCGAGCTTCCCACTTGCACTTGGCCCCTAGGTCTCTGCTTTGCCCACTACTTCTCTAAATTGGATCGCAGAGAATGTGAACTACTATTCTCAGCAAGCCACAAGCCTTAGAATTGGAAGGGACCTTAGAAATCATCTAATTGGGAAACTGAAGTCCAGAAATTTTCCAGCTTCTCTGTTCTGGCCTATCATTCCTAGAATGTTAGGGTTTTCTCAGTATTTAATACTAAGAAGAAAGAGATTTTGATTTAGTCCTAGAAGTCACCTTAGAGATCATCTAGTCCAACCCTTTCGTTTTACATATGAGGACCCTGAACCTCGAGAGAGTAATAGACTTCCCAAAGTCACACAAGTAGTAAATGGAAGAGCCAGGATTTGAACCAGGTCCTCTAACTTCAAATCCAAGAGTCTTTATACTGTACATTGATTGAGTCTGACGTTATCCTCCTGGCTTCGGGCTGCCCTGTACAATAATAGCTAGCATGCCCATATATTTTAAGGTTTGCAAAACACTTTACAAATATCATCTCATCTTATTCTCAAAACAACCTATTATTATTCCCATTTTACAGGTGAGGAAAATGAGGCAGACTGGGGTTAAACAACTTGCCCAGGGTTACACTGCTAGTATATATACAAGGCTAGATTTGAATGCATCTTCCTGACTGTAGGGCCAACACTCTTATCCACTGTACCTCATCCCTACATCAGCCTCATAGATGCTTATCTCACCCTTTTACTAACATTCCCTATTGTTCTTTACCGTATGTTTTTTAGTTCAAACATTGTTTATAATGCATGCCATGCATTATAATCAGGATGTCTTAATTATGCTTACTGTCGGTTCTTACTCATTGGTTTTACTCCTTAAGTAAGGTCAAGTTCACTTACCTCCTGTTAACATTTTGGTCTAATCTTTTGAATGTTAAGGTAGTTAGTAATAGCAGTTTTGTTGTTCCCTTGCCACATAGTCTGCTGCTCCTCTTCAGCTTTTCCACATTGACTTGGCTTTTGTCACCTACGAAAAGGATGACTTTTTCCTGCTTCCACACTTGTGGGCTCTCATGGGTCCTGCCCTCTTTCTTCCCTGGAGCTGACCCTGGATTATTTTCTCTGCCAGGATACAAAGATGGTTAAATCTCAGGCACCTACAGTGAGTGTCTCACACAACAAATGGCACTTTTGAGTATCCTCAGTGGTGCAGATGTTCAGGGTTTCTTTGCAGGTATCCAAGCTGCAATGAAAGCTGGGTGAAGACTCATGAGACTGAAGTAGAAAAGAAAATGATGAATTTGGAGGCTGCAGACCTGGTTTTAGATCCTAACCATGTTACTTGTGTGAACTTGGGCAGTTCATTTCCCTTCTCTGGGCCTCACTCTCCTCATCTCTCAGAAGAGAAGGTCAGATTAGATGGTCAAAGGCTCCTTCTGCTGCTGGACTACGGTCCTTTGACCTGTGCCTATTTCTTGTGGGAGCCCTGACTCTTGTTTCCTGTAAAAAAACAAATTTCTGGGATGTGTTTATGCATTGTGCTACTCTCTTGTATTTTGTTAGAACGTTTAACATATTCACATTTAAGGTTATGATTGTTAAGTTTATGTTTTCCCTCCCTTATTTCTTTTGTATTGACTTTTATCCCCTTTCTCTTTTAAGTCAGGACTTTGTCACTTAAATTAGTTTTGCTTATATTACTTATGCTAATCTATTTCCAAAGATTCCCTGCCTCTCAATTTAACTGCTCTACTTTAAGTTCCTTGAAGGTACGTAAATTGTTCATTTCCTTTTCTATTTATTTCTTCCTTTCCCTCTTTGGCCATTCTCTTTCCCTATCCACATAAGTATAAGGTCCAACATTTCCCTTCCCACTCTGTGTCTCCAGCTTCTTAAATAACCTTCTTTTACAGTGTACTTTTCCAAGAAATGTTCCTTTGCTTTATTCCCCTCCTTATTTTTCTTTCCTTTTAGTCTATTCAGCGTTCTTTTCTCCAATTCATGGACTATACCCTTATGTGTTCCTTCTTTATTCTGTGTCCCTCATAAAAAGAATGCTTCTAGGGAGCTAGATTGGAATTCAGTCTCCATCCCATTTTTGTGTTATTGCACAATATGCAAAAAAATATGTACGAACAAGCTATGTAGAGGATAAATAGATACCTAATAGAGGGAAGGCCCTGGAATTAAGGGAGGCTAGGGAAAGCTTCCTGTAGAAGGTAGAACTTAAAGGAAGCCAGGGAGGTCAGTAGTCGGAGTGGAGTGGGGAGAGTGATCCAGGTTTGGGGGAGAGCCAGAGAGAATGCCCAGAGCTGAGAGATGGAGTGTCTTGTTCTTGGAACATCCAAGAGGCTAGGTCAGTGGCCTTGAGACACAGTAGAGTACGTGGTAGACTATAAGGTGTAAGACTGGAAAAGGAGGAGGGGACAGGTTAAGAAGGGCTCCTCATAAATCTGGCCTTGGACACTTGGCACTTACTAGCTGTGTGACCCTGAGCAAGTCACTTAACCCTGATTGCCTCACCAAAAAAAAAAGGGGGGGAGGCTCCTCACAATGAAATAAATTCATATATAATAGTCCAAGGACCTTCGAAGTAAGTGAGGCCAACCTCATTTTATAGATGAGGAGCAGAACCCTAAATAGGTTAAGAAATTTGCCCAGGGTCACACAGCTATTATGTGTCCAGGTGGTACAGAAGATAGAGAACTGGGCCAAGAGTACAGAGGCCCTGAGTTCAAATCCAGCCTCAGACATTTACTAGCTGTGTGGCCCTGGGTAAGTCACTTAACTCCCTATAAAATGGGGGTTATAAAATGCTATAAAATAATAGCACCTGTTTCCCAGGTTGTTGTGAGGATCAAATGAGATAATGTTAGACATCATTATTATTATTTGTGGTAGAATTCAGCTCCAGGTCTTCCTGACTCTCAGTTCTGCATCCTATCCACAATACTACCCTATTCCCCATTCGTTGGGCACATGGTTTGTTTCTAGTTTGTTTGTTTTTTTACTATTACAAATAATGCCTCCATGAATATTTTTGTACAACTAGTTATTTTGTATTATTAATCTTGTTAAGGTATTACCCTAGAAATAGGATTGCTGTATAACTTCCTCTAATTTAAAAAAAAAGAAAAGAAAAAGTCAAAATTACTTCTTGATCCAAAAACTCTCACTATAATACACAAATAGTTAAATAGCAATTAAATAATTTTATCTACTGATATTTTTTCTAAGCAGACTGTGAGTATGCTATTTTTTAAGATTCTAATTTAAATTGAAATTAGTATGTGCAAAACCCTAATGTATTCACCATTAGCATCCACTCAGAATAATCTCCTGTCAAATTTCTCATCAAAGAGCATGGGCATGTAACTTCACAAAATTAACCTTAAAACTTCTGAAAGAAGACGGAAGACGATCAGGAAAGCACAAGAGTAATATTTGTGTATTCTTAGAAATAGGAAATAATCCCTTGGAAATAATTTGAGTGATTTTTACAGGATATTATGCTTTAGAAACTTGTAGTTCATAGGTGGGCAGATGGTAGCTGATACTTTAGTGCATCCATGATCTTATTTGTGTGAGCACGCCCACCACTTGTGCAGATCCTCCCACAGATTGGTAGCCATTCACATACTTTTGTCATATGTAATTCTTGGCCATGAATAGAGAAAGCACTCACAATGCTGAAGGTCTTAGGCTGTGTTGTGAGGACTTGCACACCAAATAAGATAGTCCTTCTGAACTCTTCCCTGCCCAGACCACATCTAGAATGTTGTATTACATTCTGGACACCAGGTTTTATATTTTTAAAAAAATTTTATTGATATCTTTTATTTTTATATCACCTACATTTCTCAGTGTAACTCTCCCTCCTTCCAGAGCAATTCTCTGTAACAAAGCATAAAAGAGGAAAAACAAAACAAAATCCTGTTCCAACAAAACTAATTCACATATCTGAAAGTCTGACAGTATGCGCAACAGTCCACATCCATAGTTCCCTACCTCTACAAAGAGAGAGGTGGTACCTTCTCATATCTCTTCTTTTCAGCCAAGCTTGGTCGTGGCATTCATTTTTTATTATTTTCTTCCCATTGTGTTTTCTGTTTACATTGTCATAGACACTGCAAAATTGACTTCCTTGTTTTGCTTACCTCATTGGGTATGTCTTCCCCTGGCTTCTCTGTATTCATCATATTTATCCTTTCTCATAGCACAGTAATATTCTTTTACATTCATGTACTCCTACTTGTTTAGCCATTCCTCAATTAATGGGCATCTTCTGTGTTTCCAGTTCTTTGCTGCTATCAAAATTGCTTTGACCCTGGAGTCAGGAGAACCTGAGTTCAAATCTAGCTTAGACATTTACTAGGTGTGTGACCCTGGACATATCACTTAATCCCTGTTGCCTAAAAAAAAATTTTTTTTTAGTGCCTGCTACAAGCATTGTTGTATCTATGGAATCATTCTTTTTTTGTCATGACTCCTTTGGGGTATATGTCTAGCAGTGGAGATTTGACCCTGTGGTGCTTAAAGCCTATAACCTCAAGGAGTTCCTGAACAGAGGGAAAGAACCCATATGAACCATATTTTAACATATTTTCTCTCTCTTCTCCTCTGTATATATCTTATTGCATAGTTATTTTCATGCTGTCTTCCCTCATTAGAACGTGAGCTCCTTAAGGGCAAGAACAGTGTTTTTGTCATTCTTTGTGTCCTCAGCATTTATCACAACATCTGGCACATAGTAACCACTTAGTGATTGTTGATTTACTGCGTCAACCTTCACATTGAAATCCCTGAATATCAAGGTAAATGTTGACTTAGTTTAGAGGGTCTTGTCAAGTTATTCATAAAATTCCTCATCTTCTACACTGTTCTCCATAGTGATCTGTTTGCTAGTACTCATTTTGAATACTGCAAGGAAAGATGAGCCAAGGTCCCGTGAAACACTTGTTTTTCATTTGGGCATATGATTAAACCAGTTCCTTTATTTATCTATAATAGAAGAGCCTGTGAGCTATTTTTCCATATAGTTGCAACTTCTTTACGTCTTCTGGCTTCACTTAAAGCAATATTTTCAATATGAAAAAGATCCAGTTCCTTAGATAATTTACCCATTTGTTGGCTGTTGGACAAATTAGAGTGCCAGAATTTAGGTGAATGTTTTTAGATAGTCTAAAAACTGATTCTTAGCACTGTCTACCCACTTTTCTGATACTCTGCCACCATCACAATGGAAGCAGAAGAATGTTGCATGGGGACATTTTTAATCAGTCTCGTTTCATGAGTCATTTTGGTTAAAATGATTTATCACCTAGTGTTCAACTTTATGGCAATGACTTTTTCCAAACTAAGCTACCTAGTCTTGGACAGTCATTCACTGGAACAGTACTTGAAGCCTTTCTAGCTTGGTAGAATCTACTAGAGCTTATGGTCCGCTGCCATAGCCTTCAAAAACCCATCTTCTTTGCTACAGTGACATTCTAGAGTGCTTGTGGAGTCAAACAACAAACATTATTAAGTTCCTACCATCTGCCAAACACTGGGCTGAGTTGTTAGGATACAAAGAAAGACAAAAGACAGTCCCTGCTCTCAAGGAGCTCACAGTCTAATGGGGAAAACAACATGCATCCAGCTCTGTACAAACAAGATATAGACAAGATAAATTGGGGGTAGTGTCAGAGGGAAGGCATAGTTAATAGTGGAGGATAGTTAGTAAAAAATATTTTTGACACAGAGGAATTTGACTCAGCCAGCTTATCAGAAATAGTAGCTACCTCTCTTGAACTCCTTTTTATACTCTCTCTGAATTTTCCATGTATAGTAACTAGTAGTATACGACTTATCTCCACTCCAAGACTGTAAGCTCTTTGAAAGTGGAGAGATCACATCTTATTCATCTTATGTCCTGAACGGTGCTAAGAAAATGTTGAGGGGAAGGGATAGTGCTTCTTTCAGGCCATATTCTGTTACCATCGAGTATAATGTGTTAACTTACACATTATAAGTGAAAGGTATTTAGTTTAGGGGAAAAGCACCCTCCCTGATCCATGTGCTTTCAGTTGACTTCCTTAAGGGCTCTGTCAAAGAACTATGTTTCTTGGTTAATAAAAGTGAATAATCCATAACTGCACAGTCTAAACTATCCTACATATCCTTTTGTATTCAAATGGATTCTTTTTCTCCACTTTTTTCTAGGAAGGGGAGGTGGGGAGTTCTTCAATGTGTCTAGAAGCAGAAAATGGATAATATATCCCAACACTTTTATGATGGAAAATAAAATACAGCCTTATTGTGGTACAGTAGAAAGAATGGAGTTGGAGGACCTTAGTTTAAATCACAGTTTTGCTACTTACTACCTGTATTTGTGTCACCTTGAGGTTATATCAAAACCTCTCTGAGCCCCCTCATCTGTAAAATGAGGAGTTTCACTAGAATGACAATTGAAGGTCCTTTCTACCTCTAAATCTACGATCTCATGTTCTACTACAGGAAGTAATAGGTTTCCTAGCACTGAAGGTCTTAACTAGATGCTGGTTGAATTAGAGGTGTTGTAGGGAGCCCTAGTCATATATGGCTTGACTGTAGGTGACTTCTGAAGTCCCATCTAGCTCTGGGATTCCATGAAGGAAAAGCCAAGGACTGTTCATTCAGTGGTAATTGTATTTTTTTTCTTTCATTACATCTTTGTCATCTTAAAGTTCTCAAGTTTTTAGCTTCCCCCTCACCTAGTTCCTAAAAATGTAATACTTAGTGGATTTTTGAAATGTGCCTGTCTATATTAAGAAGTTATTATTTAAATATCTTTCTCAGTTCAGTGGCAAAAGGCAAAAAATTATTTTGTATATTTGACCATACTATTACTATCATCACAAAAACGAAAATTATCTTTTTTGTTTTCTGAAAAGGAAAAAAAAATAGTAATAACTGAGTCTATACTGCCCATATTTACAACCTTTGAGATTTCAGCCATAATATATGTTTATACCTGAATCAGAATGCTTAGTTGAGAGCTCTGTCAAGGAAATACCATTATGGATTATTGTGTGGCACAGCAGAAAGAGCACTGGATTTGGAGTTAGAGAAACTAGGTTCAGATCTTGATGATACCACTTCCTTTTGTGACCTTAGATAAGTCACTTAACCAGAGATAAGTGTCTGGGCTTCACTGTTCTCATCTATAAAATTAGGAGGCTGGATTATATGATTTCTAAGGTTCCCTATAGCTCTAAATCTATAATCCTGTCATCCCAACAAATGCTCCATGAGCTAATGGTCCAGGTCTTTTAGGAGACTGTATTGTATTCTAGTAGATTCTTCTTTATTCTTTTTGAAGGGTCAGCAGAAAAGTGGTTCTCTAGCATGTCTTAAAATAAGGGAGAGAAAAACAGATGGTTTGAAGAAAAGGGAAAAATACATGTGTATTTACATAAATATGCTAAATGTAAAATTAAAAAAAGGGAACATGTTGAATGATTTCTAAATTCTTTATCGTAGGGGGCTCAAAATCCAGCCCTAACACCTGACTTAGGTGATCCTGGGCAAATTCTCATGCCTTTCAGAGCCTCAGTTTCTTCATCTGTAAAATGGTAGCATGGATTCAATAATTGTGAATATTCCTTCCACCTTTATTGATTTATGTGTGGCCCACTAGCTGTCATCTATATTTTTCTTATTATCAGATCTTTTCAATGTGTGCAAGAAGCAAAACAAAGTAATCCTAACTTGCACATATTCAGTTTGAAATACAAATTATTCTTATTAGCATTCGAACAATTTGTCCAAAACTAAATCCATTCATATAGGATTTTGCTTCCACAGAGCTAATGGGAATCAGTGGTTTCATTGTTTGTCACTATGGAAACCAGTCAGCCTATCCTGAATCACTATTAGATCATACGGAATGATGCACATATCTCTGTGTAACTTCATCATTCAGCAAGTTGGTTTCATGTACACTTGCTCCACAGTGTGATCTGACCATAGCAAAGGGGACAATGCAGGGTTCTCCTAGGAGGCTCTCGGCTGTGAATTTTCTGAGCACTTTTTTCCAAGGTCGAAGGCACTCTGCTTCTGATCTTTTGCTTCGTTTGCACCAGAGACGGCGGAATTCAGTTATAGAAGTGCTTTCTTCATCTTCTCATCGGGTTATGGTGGCTATATCCTCTGTCAGCAGTGCAGAAATAAATCCAACTTTTCCTGAAAGAAAAAGTAAAGCTTTTTTCTTTTAGATTATCAACACCCTTGTATTTCAGTTTGCATGCAATGCTTAGGTACTGTATTATGTATGTAAAAATTTAGCTTTGAGTAATTCTTGTTGTCTTTTATGTCAGTATTTTTAAAGGATTTATGAGAAAGTGATGGAATAGTTTGTGGCATTTTTATAGACTTTATTACTAATTATTTTTCCTGAACTGAGCTCAATCTCTTATGAAGCATGTAGTTTTAAAAAAATTTTCTTTAAATGGCAGTCTAAATGAGGTTATGGTAATTACTGTTATAGGTGAAAGCCCTTTAATAAAAAGATTGCCATACATTCAAGTTGAAGGGAACATAATTCAGACACAGCTGGCTATCTTAAATGTTGAAATAAAATCAAAGTCTTTTTTTCCATTATTGCTATATCATTTGGGGATAACATATGAATCTTTTAGATATTATCACAATGTGATATTTTCTCTTGCTGGTTCTGTAGGAAGTTCACGACGTCCAACACCAAAATATACTAAAGTTGGGGAACGTCTACGACACGTTATTCCTGGACATGTGGCCTGTTCAATGGCATGTGGTGGTCGAGCCTGCAAGTATGAGAATCCAGCACGCTGGAGTGATGAGGAACAAGCCATCAAAGGGATTTATTCCTCCTGGTAATGTGGTGGGCTAGTGCTTCCAAAGCTGTCGTTGAAGAAGCAGCATTACTGCATTAATATAACCATAACAGCAACTGCATTTTTAAAGCATAAAGTCTTTAAATTAAGTCCTTAGAGACGTTAACAGCCAGTAGTTAGGAGATCATTTCATTTTGTTTCTGAAATTATTAGTAATAGTACTAATGTCTAGACAAGAATCCGATAAAGTCTTTAGGTATCTGTTCTAAGGTCATATTTTAACCTTTGAAATAATGATTTTTATTTGACATAACTATAATTGCCAAGTTCAAGGAATTGTCCTACTCCTCTGCATTGAAGATGGCTTGATCTAATGGAGAGAGAATTTGATTAAAATCAGAGGTCTTGGAGTTAGGTTCTAGCTTTGCCACTTAATTTCTCTGAGCTGCAGCTTCCTCGTTTATAAACTGGAGATAATTTCATTGCCTACCTTAGAGAGGTGTTGTTAGGATCAAATGAAATCATCATTGTAAAGTGCTACTGAAATGTCAGCTCTTGTTATACCTGAATAGATGTCTAAACATGTTGACATAGTTGGTGGTGTTTTTCACTCTCTGTAAGTGACATTAATTACTGATACTTACTGATCTTGTTAGGTAACAGATATGTATGCAGATAGTAAGCTGGATAATCACACCTTGCTCTATGCATTAGCTACATTACTGAAGAGTTATAAATAAACTACAAGAGCATTCTCCTTCAGATTCTTATGGTGAATTATTTTATAAGGCAAAGAATCTTTTGCAAACTATGTGTTTGTGCTCTATCTTAACTGTCTTGTAAATTTGTATTTTTATATATTGAATTGTATTCAACTCCTGTTGGTGGTATTTAATCATGAATAACATGGTGAAACATGAGAGGCAGTTTGGTGGAGTGGCTAGAGCTCAGGAGCTGGAGTCAGGAAACCTCTCCCCAAACCTGTCTAAGAAGCACTGACGATCTCCAAGATTACTTCTACCTTTAAAGCTTTGATTGTAGGAAAGATTTCTGAAATTATTCTTTCCCCTTTTCCCCAGGATATTATGAAGCTAAAACTTAAGATACATTTTGTCCTTTTCTAATCATTACACAAAACTGAAACCGGATTTGTGTAGGTAGATTCTTGCCTGGTATTAAAGGGGAGAGAGAGGGAGAAGCTTGAAAAGTGAGGGGGTTGTGCTTTATCTCTGGGGTTGCTTCCAGCTCTAAAATTTGTGGGTTCCCTGCATTTAATAAATATCTTCCTTCTGCCTCTCCAGGGTCACAGATAACATTCTTGCAATGGCTCGACCATCAACTGAGCTAATTGAAAAGTACAACATCATTGAACAGTTTCAAAGGTACATGACCTCCATGCTCATAAATTCAGGTCTCTAACACCAACATCACTTTTGATATTGGGCAAAAAAAGGTGTTCTCATTTCTACAGTTGGCAGTTAGGAGCTTCATTTCAAACAAACAAGAAATTAAAGCTGCAAGTGTTTACTAATGTCAATGTAGAAATGAGGGCTGAAAAAAATATCAGCTCTCAATATAATGAATTTCTCTTCTCCTTAAGCTACGGCATAAAAACAATAATTAACCTTCAGCGACCTGGAGAGCATGCAAGCTGTGGGAACACGCTAGAACCAGAAAGTGGCTTCACTTACCTCCCTGAAGCTTTCATGGAAGCTGGCAGTAAGTTCATTCCTGCTGATTTTTTTCATTAATTAGCAAATATAATGGGGACACAATCTTTGCTGTTATGTTTGTTCCTCAGTTAAGAGAAGCTTGGGAAATGCTGCTTGTACACAAGATCTCATGCAAAAATGAAAGTAAATGCTTCTGTCTTTTGGGGTGCTGCTGTTGGGAGCCCAAGCTCATTTTTATGTGTGAGAGAGAGATTTCTTTAGGCTAAACCCATTAAAGTCAACAACTATAATTATCATAAAGTCATATTTATTATGTTTTACTCAGAGAACTAGAAAGTGTACTGCCTAAAAGTGGCAGAAATATAGGCTCAAAATTGCATGTTCTTGAAGGTTTGCATGTAAAAACTACTTCATTTTTTTAAAAAAAGATTTGCTCCAAGTAGAAATAAAATCTAGATTTATACTTTGTTGTTCAGTTCATTTCAATTGTTGTTCAGTTGTGTCCAACACTTCATGACCCCATTTGGGATTTTCTTGGTAGAGATACTGGAGTGGTTTGCCATTTCCTTCTCCAGCTCATTTTACAGATGAGGGGACTAAGGCAAACAGAGTTAAATGACTTGCCCAGGGTCGCACAGTTAGTTAAGTGTCTGAGGCTAGATTTGAACTCAGGAAGATGAGTCTCAGCACTCTATCCACTGCACCAGATTTATACTAGGTGGTCTTTTATTAGCCTCTTGTGTTTTCATGCAGAGACAGCATAGAACATTTTCTACCTACAGCTTAGTAATTTTTGTATGAATCATTTTACTTGTTAAATTCATGGGTTCTACCTTTCCTTAAGTTATTCCAATGAGTTTCAATAGGACATGTCTTTTTTTAATAGTATTTTATTTTTCCAAATACACATAAAGTCGATTTTTAACATTCATTTTTAAAAATTTTTGAGTTCCAAATTTTTCTACCTCCCTTACCTCCCACCTCCCTAAAATGGTAAGCAATTTGATATAGGTTATATATGTGCAATCATGTAAAACATTTCCATATTAGTCATGTTGTAAAAGAAGAAACAGACCAAAAGGAAAACACACACACACAGACAAATAAAGTAAAAAAGACAGTATGTTTCAATCTGTGAAAATTCAGACTCCATCAGTTCTTTCTCTTGATGTAGATAGCATTTTATATCATGAGTTCTTTGGAACTGCAATAGGACATGTCTTAAGCAGGACAAAAAACTATCAACATTTTTAGCAGCTTATTTACTAAGGGAATTGGCCAAGATGCCCTCTAAAGTCTATTCCACCTCTAAGATTCCTTGATTTTTACTACAGAAGGACAATATATATTTTAAATACAAATCTAATCAGACTGAACCTCAGGATCATACTTTTCCTAGTTTAACTTATTTTCATCAGAAATCTTCATAAGTATTCTTTCTTACAAGTTGATTTTTTCCCTTCTTTCATGTTTTTAGTTTACTTCTACAATTTTGGATGGAAGGACTACGGTGTAGCATCTCTTACTACCATCTTAGATATGGTGAAGGTGATGACATTTGCCTTACAGGAAGGAAAAGTAGCTATTCATTGTCATGCTGGGCTTGGTCGAACAGGTAAATTTATGTCAGTGAGTGTTACGGTTTTACATATATCCATATAGATTTTACTGTGACATCTTCTAAGTATAGAAAATAAATATTCTTTAAGAATGCTTCCAAATTTTTACTAGTGAATTGATAATATTTGATACACCCAATATAATTTTACTCTCCAAAAATTATGGAACTTTAGGACCTCTTTGAAGACTCATAAAACCCCCTCATGACAGGCTATCTTTGCTCCAAAAAGCAAACTGCCTAACATTCTCACTCTGCAAATGACTAGAGTAAATACTTTCATAAGAATGAGTCTGATGATATCTTTAAGTGACTTGGCTAAGAGCTTGCTTTTGCAATAGACTATAGGTCTGGAGTAAGCTAAACCATTAACTATTTATTTCCTCCTATAAAGAAGAGTGTCTTCACCTTCTCTGGTACATGAATAGTTTATGTCTCGTCATAACGGTCCTCTTTTAAAAGATGACTTCCCTTGTAGGTGCTCTCTTCATGGTCTTATGGTCTTTTCTGAGAATGAGGATTTTGTTTATGAGATGCTATTACTGCAAGAACCAATAATTTTACTGAAAAATACTTTAGAACCACATGGTAGCAGAGGGAAAAGAGAACATCTGCATTATAGTCTGACCTTATTAGGGTGTGAAATAGGTACCACTCATAACTATGCCCACTGGAGAAGAAACTAGTCTTACAGCCTGAATTGATCAGATCCATGGCAAATAGCTTTAAGGGCATATTTTGGCATAGGATATAAAAGGTTTATGTATGAAGATTCACAGACCTTTCCTATTGTAAAAGTTCTCACAGAGTTAAAATAGGTTCATAGAACATTAGAAACCACAGTAATTTGTTGCTTCCCTTATAGTATAGTGTTAGAATTATATGGGGTCAAGAAACATGTATGTTTTTGAGAGAAATGCCTTCAGAAAAGTACAGCAATGTGCTGATCCGACAAGAAAGAAAAATGGGGACAAGCATGAGATTGCCTAATGGTCAGCCAAGAAAGTGGGTTGGGAATGTGATTAATAATAAGCGTGGGAAGGGTTAGAAAGTGGAATGTCTGAACACCCGGGCGAAGTGGAAAGGGCAGGAAATGAGAGGCAGACAGGATCAGGGAACCATGAAGACACTGGAGCTGAAGATCCCAAGCAGCAAGAGCAGAAGTCTAAATCAGATGGGAAAGAGAGAAATCTCTCCATCTTGGGGAAGAAATGAGAAGATAAGGAAGAATTTAAACATTATTGTCCAGTGGTTTTGTTAGCTGCCAGTCATACCAACCATAATTATTTGATGTTGGTAGTAAAAGGTCCAAATTTATGACTTTATATTATATAGTTATCATTAAATATTACATATATAGTTATAACTCTAAATTATCCTTGAAATGTCCACATAATAGATCTCTTTGAATATAGTATTTAAATTTTAAATCAACAATATGTGGTAAATGAATAGTTAAGTTTTCACATGTTAATAATTCTCTTCCTTCATTCTTTTAGGTGTTTTAATAGCTTGTTTTTTAGTTTTTGCAACAAGAATGACTGCAGATCAAGCGATAATTTTCGTTCGGGCAAAAAGGCCAAATTCGATACAAACAAGAGGCCAGTTATTATGTGTAAGGGAATTCACTCAGTTTTTGATTCCTCTCCGCAATGTGTTTTCTTGCTGTGAGCCCAAAGCACATGCTGTTACTTTATCACAGTACTTAATTCGCCAGCGTCATTTACTTCATGGTTATGAAGCTCGACTTCTAAAGCACGTGCCAAAAATTATTCATCTGGTTTGCAAACTGCTGTTGGACTTAGCTGAAAATAGACAAGTAATAAAGGAGGACATTTTAAAGGTACCTGATCTCTCCGCTGAAATTGAAAAGACAGTTTCGGAGATGGTCACAATGCAGCTGGATAAAGAGTTAATGAGACATGTGAATGACGCATCCCTTCCATTCACCCCCTCAGCAGTGACAGTAGATTTTGAGAACCAGGATGCTGTTTTCTCCAGTGAACATGAATTTGATCCTCTTTGGAAGAGGCGGAATGTTGAATGCCTTCAGCCTCTGACTCATCTGAAAAGAAGGCTCAGCTATAGTGACTCAGACTTAAAACGAGCTGAATTTCTTTTGGAGCAGGGAGAGACTCCGTGGACAGTGCCTACCCAAGTCCTCCTGTGCTGTAACCTCAAGCAGCAGCACGTGAGCCACACTTGTGCTCAGCCATCGCCTCCGCTGGACATCAGTAAAGAAGCTTTAGTCCGCAATACATTTTCCTTCTGGAATCAGCCTAAATGTAGTGGTCTAGAAGCCTCCAGAGATGAGGGGTCACCACTTTTCCATAGGAGAAAGATTCCAAAGGAAATCCAGCGGAGTAGAACTTTTTCTTCAGGCTTGTCAGGTGTGCACAACACTGGGGAGTCAGTCACAGCCAAGGTTGCAAATACACCCAGGACACCAGCCTGCCCCAGAAAGCTGACCACTGTAGGTATGACCCTGGCAGTAACTGGGGACAAGATCCCATGGCTTGTGGTGGGAATTACTGTGTCCCTCAGAATTGTGATGCTGCTCCTAGGGCAGAATGCTTTGTCAGATCTGAAAGCCAAGAAAATAATGCCCCACTACAAGCAATGCCACTGAGTATTGAAGCACGAAGAGTGTTGGTGGCAAAAGCCCTGGCAAATTTGAATGAATTTATAGAAGAGGCGGAAATAAAACAAAAGGTGGAAATGTGGCAGGTATTTTTATCTTATTTCTTACCTACATGCTATAAATTTAGCATCAGAGCAAAATTCCTTTTTGATTCCTACGTAGCCCCTCCAAATCCTCTGTTGAGTTCAGGAGACAGATTAAACATGCTTAATCCTAAGAGACATGGCTATATTTGAGGTTGGCTATAGAAGATGTCAAGATTTAGTTTATTTGATACATTGTGCTCATTATATACTGCCTTGCAAAAAAATTACATAAACATTCTTTTCTGTCTTGAGTAAGTTAAGAAAGATATACTAGATCACAGGGCAAATTCCTACTCCAGGCCTTCAGTGTACTCAAAACCTGCTATAGCAAGAAACAAGGCTCTGGATCACCCTCAATGCTCAGAAGGACCCTTCCTTTTTAATATTTATCTGGGATTTTCACTTTGGGCTTGGTTTACTGTACTTTTCTGTAAACTTTTATAATGCAAATTTAAAATTTCTAAAATGTAACTACAAAAATTCGGTAACAAACAACAGCTGATGTTCATCACATCAGCTTGATTTATTAGCTTATGGTCAGTGTGATATAAATTATTCTTTAATACAGCCACCTTTCCGTAAGTAGGGCTATATGTTAATATAAAAAACTACCTGATTGCTAAGTAGATAGATAATAAGTAGGTAGAGTGTTTATTAAGTGCTTACTATGTGCAAGGCACTGTACTAAGTACATATCCGTCATTTTGCTTGAAAGTGTCAGTATCATTTTATATACCTAGATTTCAGAAATAAATAGGCATGATCTCAGTATGTGGCCTCATCAAGACAAATTAATAATTAAATTAGAACTCGTAAAACTGATGGAGGAGAAAGCAGCTGGTGAAGTGAAGCTTTCTTCATTCATTAGAAGGACAATTTCTTTGGTTATATGAATAACCATCTTAACAGATTAATCATTTAAGTGTTAGGTATAGAGTTGTCTTTATTTCCTGTTCTTACCTCTTTGTTAAACTGTGGTGTTGCCTAGAACCCCCATATTTTTTTCCTTAGGCCCATTGCTCATTATTTTGTTAGGTGACACCATGAAACCAGAGAGTTTTAGGGAATGGGAACAATTATGGAAAGACTTTCCCGAAACAAGGCTACCTGGCATTGAGACCCCCCTAAAGACCTGTTTGAGGTATTTCTGTTTCCTTTGCTTCAGAATCTATTTAATTAGTCTTTTCTTGAACCGAAGAGAAGGCAGAGAAGTCTCTCCTGTTCAAAGGATAACTTAATGTAATTTAATTTATTGTGATTTTTAAAAAGCATTTCCAAAGAACAACAATGTTTTTTGTTTTGTTTTTAAACAAAGGTCAAGGTGTTTGAGAAATTTTTTTTTATGGATTTAATAATATACGTTTAGCTAACACAAATGCAGTTCCATTTCAAAAGATTTCAGAATATATCCGTACTGTACTCAATTTGCCAAGAATAGAAATAACCATTGGGTAGAAATAGCGATTGGGTTCTTTCAGTTGATTTGATTCTTTGGAAACTGATATTTTATCTCTGGTTTACTAATTAGGCTAGATTTCTCACTACCTATATAGTTCTGAATGAAGGAATTAATAGATTAGACTAATAATTGCAAATGAGTAAAAATAATTGGAAAGTTTGAGAGTAATTAAAGAACCCAGTACTGTAAGACTTCATTTTATTTACTAAAACATATACTTGGATGCTGTCAAAAATATACTGCAATTTGTATATCACTTATTTCTTATGTGATCCATTCCATTCCCTACCCCCACTCATAGCTCCCAAATTGAAAATAACCAAAATGTGAGGCTTTATACCTTATTCCAATTTATGTAGTTTTTGTCAAGGTCTTCAAGTTGTTTTCATCCTATGAGAACACAGTGTGGGTTTTCTTCATGTTCTACCATTATGATTCTAAAAAAAGAAAAATTTTGACAAAAATCTGCTATACTCACTTCCAAAGCATTGTTAGTTGACACATTGAAACACTTCATAAATGTAAGGTGTTGTTATTTTTATTCAGACTCAAAAGCTATTCTGTAAATTCCACTGTAATTTACACAAACTTTCTGAATTTTTAATACTCTTTCAGTATGAATTCCATTACAGAAATTTGAAACTCTCCTGGGTTCTAAATACAGAAGGCACAGTTTCTCTTCTTGAAAGCCTCTAATTAGCAAGTATCAGAATAACAAAGGATACAGACAGAACTATGATTTGGGGTCCTAGACCTTTGGGCTTAACCCTACAGCATGAAATTTAGAGGGTACTAAAAGCACTTAGGTGGAAACAGTTGAGTTTATCACCTCCCTAGCAAGAAGAATTAGTTAAAATAAGAAAGGAACCACATGGTACCCTTCTTCCCCTCCCAATGGCTGCCTCTCAGCTAAGCTCCTTCCCTGCTTGCTTCTCATTATCCTACCTCTCTCTGTGGATGGTAGAGGTACCCCACAGTTCCAATCCATGGGGCCCACTGTTAGGGTGTCCTAATTTGTATTCCACTACAGAACTTTATGTCTCAAGGTCTGAGGTCCCTCCTGCCCACTCATTTATTTGAATTTGTCTTAAAAAGTTGATTTGACTTTGCTCCAGGGTCCAGAATTCCTCATAATAGATCCAAATACACAGATTATTAAACTTCAGTCAAATAGTGCCATTTTTTTTTTACCTTTCCCCTCCCTTCTCCCTTCTTTTTTAGAGAGAATTGAATTCTAGAGATGGGGCTTGGGAAAAAATATGTGGAGAAAGAGATCCCTTCATACTGTGTGGCTTGATGTGGTCCTGGGTAGAGCAACTAAAGGAACCTGTTATAACCCAAGAGGATGTCAACCTATTAGTCAACAACTGTGCTGATGCCTCAGAAGCACTTTCCTTACTAGAAAAGGTAATGTGGCCCTTGTATTCATTTCTCTGACTGTTTATCACAGAATCCCAGAGCTAGGAACGGACCTCAGAGGCCCTCAGATAGCACCAGTACCTGAACAAGCATCCCTTGGATAGCGTCTCCCACAAACGGTTTGTTGATGCCAGCCCTTTGGCTGGGCATACTGTTTCCTCAAGTACATTATAATTTCCATGAGAGGCAAGGACGATTTCTTTCCTTCTTGACCCATTTCTCCTGCCTTCTCCTAATTCCTTTCTTTTGTAATCATAGCACCTGATTCATCACACAGGTACTTCAGACATATCTGTTGATTAACCGGTTAATCATGAGGGCTATATCAAGTTTTAGTATGGTCTGCCGTCCCCTAATAATAGCTTAATCGAAACAATTATGCCCAGGAAAAGTAAGAATGAAAAAAAAAAAGAATAGGGAAAAACACTTAAAATTTAATGCAATTCAGTAAACATATTAATGTTTACTATGTGTAAGGCAATATATGCTAGGCACTGAGTATAGAAAGGCAAAAAAGAAAACATCTCCACCCTCAAGGACTGCTTCAGGTATATTCTACTGGATAATTTTTTATCTTCATATTCTTTTGGAATTTTTACATAATATGCAGATTCATTATTGATCAAACTAGTATATACTCTTCAAATTACATTGGAAAAGACTAATATGTATTTAATATAGAGAGTCAGGTGGAAGAACAGATAGAGAACTAGACCTGACGTCAGGAAGACCTTACCTCAAATCTGTCTTCAGACACTTACTATCTATGTGACCTTGAGCAAGTCACTTAACATCTTTCAGCCTCAGTTTCATCATATGTATCATGAGGATAATAACCCATCTACCTCACAGAGTTCTTGTAAAGATAAAAGGTTAATATGTAAAGTACATTGCAAATCTTAAAGACCTATATAATGCTAGCTAGATAGCACTCATGACTTATTTAACTTTTTTGGAAGATAAGATTTGATTTCAGTCTTACTCATATCTCTGCAACTAATGATTTGTTTCCTGTGGAAGGCTTTTAAATGGTTTGTTTCTGTTTTTGCTAAACAGGGACAACACCAAACTATTCTCTGTATCTTACACTGTATAGTGAATTTGCAAACCATTCCAGCTGATGTAGAGGAAGCTTTCCTTGCCCACGCCATTAAATCTTTCACCAAGGTAAATAACACTCCCTTTACTCCCTGCCAAGTAATTCAGTTTGGTTCAACTCATATCACATGGGTAACAAGGTCTTTGAACTGAACTTCAGGAGTTTTTCATTTAGTTGTATTCCCTTTAAAGGAAATGTATTTCAAATTTGTAGTCAAAATTAACATATTTGTGGCCAAAGAATGGGTAACTAACATTAGGAAAACCTTGGGGTATAGAGTTTTTTACAAGAGAACTTTAGAAGAGTTTATTTTTTCATTTAAGGGAGAAGCAATTGGATGTTTAGAGTTTTGAAAATATGTCAACAGTAATGTGCTCAACACAAGTCAGAGAATCTTGTTGAGCCTGTTCTGCCTTGGATTGAAACAAGAGCTGTTTTTTGAGTATTTCATATTTAGCATCGATTTACAGTACTGTGTTTTGGCTTGGAAAATCTTAATAAAAAAATTAAGACTATTTCCTTTTCATACAGATCCTTTTTGTGCTTAAAGGAGAGGCTGCTTCAACTACTCTGAGGGGAAAGTCTCAGAATTAATGGGGAAAAAAACTCAATTAAATTATCTGGTGCCCCCCAGTGGTTGATATTGAAAATAATATTTTAAAGAAAGGAAACCCATGGTGGGTGTTTCTATGGTAGATGGATTCTAAACATAATATATTTAAGGAGATATGTATTAAATTAATACACGCATGAATCTGGAAAAATACAAGGCATTCTTTCAAGAACTATGTATATCTTTATTCTTAAAAGTCACTTGTGTTAAAAATTGAAAATTTTACCAAAAACATCTGTGTCCCTCAGTTCTTATAAGTAACTTCTCCAAGGTCACTACCTAACTGAGTAACTCTGGGAAAATCACTAAACTTTTCTGGATCTGAGCTTCCTTATCTGTAAACTTAGCAAGTTGTATCAGTTTAGCTCATCTCCAAAATTCCTTCCAGCTATAACATTATCTATTTCTGTTCACATTTAAACCTTAGAAGACTTTCAGACTACCTATTATACATGGACAGCTATGTTTTCTATCATAATGGCAAACAGAACCAGATTGAATCAAAACTAAGTGATAATACAAGGGAAAGTAGAGAGGAAGAAGATGGACTTTGCCAACATGAGGAATAGTAGTCAAGAAAGATTAAGTGCTGGCTGTGTCCTAGGCACTGTGCTAAGTTCTGGGTATACAAAGAAATATAAAGACAGTCTGAGAGGCTTCCAATCTAAGAGGGGAGACAACATGCAAGTCATTCTACATGAATAAACTATATACCGAGTGAATTGGAAAGAATCCACAGAGAAAAGGCACTAGAAGTAAGAGGGATTAGAAAGGAGACTTTAGGGAAGCCTGGAGGTGGAGATGAGCTAAGAGGAGGAAGGAGAGGACACAGGCATGGGGGCAGCCAGGAGAGGAGAGGCAGAAACAAGTTCTTATTGTTAAGATCCAACTTTTATTTCATTTGGAGTATCTAAGCTGAAGGAAAAGTACATAATACTTGATTCATAATCTATAAACAATCACCTATACATTCAGTTGTTATTTCTTTCTTTCTTTTCTGTATTGTGCTAAATATATTACATGGAATTTTCAAATTTTCACCTAAATGTTTGCTGTTTCAAGACACCTAGTCTGGTATAGTTCTTGATTAAAAAATGAGTGTGTGAAGATTCCCCTCTAAATTGTCACAGACTAGTTGTGGGACACTGACCAAGTCATTTCACTTCCGGGTGCCTCAAGCCATTCTTGAAGAGGCCTGAGTAACTGTTATGGAGCCTAGGATAACTGATCTGCATTGTTGCAGGGAGTTCCTTCCCCCAAAGCTCCCTCCTCCAATGAAGATCACAGGTACAATAAAAAACAACAACAACAAAAACCTGAATCCATGACATTCTTTCTGTTTATATTTTATGAGAATTGTATATAATTTTGTGTGATATCTAGACATAGGTCACGAAAGCATTTTCTTCATCTCTTCAGATAATTTAAAGGCAAAACATACTTTCCCCCCCTTCGTTGGGCCTTACTAAGAAAACATTTTATAAATGAGCTCTATTAATATGGTTTTTCTTTGTTACCAGATTAATTTTGATTCTGAAAATGGACCAGTGGTTTACCACACCCTGAAAAAAATATTTAAGCACGCAATAGAAGAAAAAAGAAAGATTACAAAAGAAGGATCAGAACACACTTCTTAATGTTTACAGTTCTATGTTGGGGGTCTTCTGTGGATCCCAAGAAGGATCTGTTTAATCCGCTACTTTTTCTTCCTTCGATGTTTATTTTAACCTAACCTGAAGACCCTGATAACATTTATGTTCATATGTGAATATGTTGAAGTTCTTACAAGCTGCTTTTTTTGTGGTTTTATTGTGGCATTTCATTTAAAGTGATATCATTTTATATTGTGTATGATATTATTTTGAGGCTATTTATTGATTCTGAAAAAATACATCCACAAGCTTTATTTTTGTGTTTGAACAATTGACATGAAGTCAGTGCCATTTCCTTTTATTTAGTGAATTGAGCTAATGTTGTTGTATTAACATTTGAAGTACGTGATGTTTACATTAATGTTTTTCTGTTTTACATTGTGGTAGATGACTGACTCTACTTTCCAGAACAATTGTCTGGATGACTGAACCATCTTTGGAGTTTAAAAAATAGATACTTTGATAGTAAACACTATATAGCCATTCCTTCCTGACATATAACTTAAATAAGTCACCAAGTGTCTTGAAATGCTGTTTTATATTTGTGACTACAGATGTTTCTGTTGCAAGACTTTTAAAGGATTTTTTCCATTTGTTTGAATTTCTTTCTTTTGTTTTTCATATGGCAAAATATTTCAAGGTATATTTTTCCAAGATAAGTAATATGATGTTAAAAGATTGAATGTAATCTGGTTTGGTAATTTTGTATTTGGGAAAAGTAGATCTGCTTTATTTGTCAGGGCCATGGGTGAACTTTGCAGCACACCAGCCTTTGCTGTCCCAGGAAGGCAGTATCCATTCTCAGGACCTAAAGCCTTATTTCCTCTGTACTGGGTAACTGCTTAGCCAAATAGCTACAAGCTTATCTTCAAATTATCTTTAATAAGAAAACAGGATGAAGGACTGACTGATTTGAGTAAGAGACAGACTAAGCTTTCATCAAATGTGTGGGCCCATGACCATTGGAATCCTGGAGGAGTCTTTTAGTGCCCCGGTATATTCTGTCCTGTGGAATAGAGGCATGGTCAGAAGACGTTAAAGACTTTTTTGTTCTAGGAGTTGGTAACAAGTATGGTTACTCAGCCTCATCTAGAGCTCCATCTACAAACCCCTGGTGCCACTATGGAAACTTCCATATCTTCCGACAGGAGGTTGACAGGCTGAGATGATGATGGGACTGAGAACATTAGGCACAGTGGAAAAAATATTCAAGGGGATTTAGCAGCAAAGCTCTCTTGTCTTATCTTATCTGTCTTCTATCCCATTTCTAGTTCTGGGGCTCTGTGGACCCTGTCTCATCAGGACCATTTAGTTCCAGAGGTTTGCCCTATAAGATAAGATTCTGTCTTCTCGGGATTACAATAGATTAAATTTGGTCCAAAGAGACTATGTTTTTCAGTTACCAGCAAAGAGATGTTATGTAGGATAAGTTGACTTCTTGCCCTAGTTCCTAGCAAAGCAAACTGTCAGAGTTATAGAAATGGCATTTTTAATAGTAGTCATAGTAATGAAGACAAGAGTTGAAGTTGCATCCAGGAGAAACTAGCTTTACCCCTTATTTTGTTGATATTTACTGAAACAACTCCAAGGAAAGGTGGAGGGAGGTACCACCTATCTTAAAATAAAGACAATTTCAGAGAAAGCTTGATTGAATTACAGTAGTTAAAATGCCTCCCAACTTTTATGTTGCAAATTAAGCAACCTGTTTATCAGAAATAATGATCATTTTCCACATTACTAACTCAGTTGTTGGATGGTCAATAAATTTCTTGAGGGGACATTCCATTAATTTGTAATAAACTGGATTCCCTACCATTCCAATTGACCAAGTCATTCCTGAAATTCCTCATTTTCAAGTGCCTGAGTTGGGGGTGGGGTGGGGAAAACAACCAAAAATAACCTCTGTTTTAGTCAAAAGTAATAACAAAATTATAGAAAAATAAAATTTTTAACCAAAATATTGTAAGCTCTGTACTCTCTATATATGGGCAAATGACAACCATGATTCATTTGACAAATTGATAATTTACAAACACAATATTAATTTCAATTTGAAGAGCAAATATGGTATATTCCTGATGCTATTATAGTATTCTATAGTTAAAAAGTAGATGTAAGCCAGTCATGAAAATTAGTATATGCCAAGGACCTGAAAGAAATGACTAGCTAAAAGAAATCAGCTGTAGTTGAGTATTGTATTAATTTTAATAAAAATGGAAAATAGAACCCCAAATAGTAGCAGTGTACTTTTTTAGTCTACTGTTTCCTATCACAATGAGCACCATGATGACACTGGTAAGCCCAGGGTAAGGGATGAGGAAGTTGATGGTAAAATGTTCTTGAAGGGAACAAATAATGATTTGGGGTTAAAGAAAATTAGCCAAGATGATGTAAACATCCACGGTCTTAACTGTACCTTGTTAAAGACTGATTATCTTAATTATCAACATAGAGACAATGTTGTTTACCCACCATCTAAATAAGCTTTCTTCTTGGATCCAAGACTAGGACTGAACTCTCCTCTCAGCCCTTGCACCAGCTTGCTGTGTTGTGTATCTTTGCCAAAAGTCACTTTCCCTCATGGGCCTCAATGTCCTCATCTGTAAAGTGGGAGTGAGGGATGGGAAGGAGGGGTAGTAACTACAATGTTCTAGGAGTCATCAGACCCTACGGTTTCCAGCTGGAAAGGATGTTAAGGATTATCTAGTACAAACATCTTACTTCACAAATGAGGAAACTGAGGCCAGATAGGTTAAGTGATTTGCTCAGGGTCATATTGGTAAGAAGCAGCAAAGAGATTGTAGAACCAGGGTTCTTTCCTCATGTTGAATCACCCCACTATATTACACTGCATCTGGAAATGTCCTGTTTTCTGACCAGAGGGGGAAACTTTGCTTGTATTTTGTTTGCAAAGTCCTTCAGCATATCACTTTTGCTGTAACTGATAGAACTTTCTGCCCCTCCCTTTGCTGTGCTGATTATTGAGCTGTAGTTCCAGAATTTGCTGTTGCCCTCTGTGACAAACCACCAGTATTTTAAACATGGCAATCAAGAATCCATTCAGTGACTGCTTATCTCTGCCTGTTAATTTAGCTGGAAAGCACGAACAGCTCTGCTGATATTTTTAGTTCTATCTTAAGCCCATTTACTAGATTGGCCTTGAAAAATAGTCTGTATGTTTTGGATTAGATTCACTATAAAGCATGAACCACCATTTGCTCTTTTAGACAAATACCACAAGCCAATTTAGCCACAATTTCTCCATTTTCTTTTAAGTGGAGAATGCTTGGAGATAAGCTGTAGTCTTATTCTATTTCAAACTAGTCCTAGGTTGTTTTAAGATATTTTTCTCTTGAGTTGCACACTGCCGTCTTCTTTTAAACTCACTGAGCTTTGTGAATACATTTTCAAACAGCCTGCCCTCTGTACCTTCAGCTCCCTCACAATCTCTCTGTGTGCCATCATACCTAAACAGCTCTAAGCAAAAAGGGTAGGTAAGGAGTTCATTCAAAATGAGAGTGTACACCCAGGACTTTTTTTGTGTCTGTTCCAAATTAGCTAGCAATAATAACTTTTGAATGCAGATAAGCTCAAGAATGTAGTTTAAATGTCCTTAATGCATTATCGGGAAATTGGCAGATTAGCTCTGTAGTAGAAGGAAGTTAAGTAGCCACTCACAGTGCTAAATGGCTGACCATTATTTACTGATAAAAATGGCAGGAGAAGAATTCAGCCAATCATAAGCTTTCTTATTCACAGTGCTGCATTATATTTTAATTGTGCTTTTGTGGATGAGCTGATCTCTGATTAGCTGAAATACACACAATAAGACCGATTTATAAGCAATCACAATGGAGCGATTATTCATAATGGTCCTGTGGTCAACCTTCTTTCTACTATGCTAACATCCATTAAAACAACATGATTGAATCTGTTTCAGCCATTTTAGAGGTAGAAAAAGAGTCCCAAGAGAATAGTGTCATATGATACCTTTCATTGAAAATGAAAGTTTCATATGTCCTTTGGAATTTACATAGCAATAGAAAACCATTATCTTGCACTCCATTCTACTGGCATTCTCTCTTAATTAAATGCTTTCTTTTAGGAAAGATGATTTACTCAGGGAATCCAAGGAGGGAAGAATTATTTTATACAAACTCCACAACAATTTCTTTACAAAGAACATGCCAGCACAAGGTATTGTAACTGATAGTTCTTATTGGGGGGGTCACAGAATCATAGCATTTCAGAGTTGAAAGAATTCTTAAGTGGTCATTTAGTCCAAACCTGAAAGAGAATCCTTTCTCTACAAGATACCCGACAATTGATCATCCAAGCTTTTGCCAGAAATTCTCCAGTGAGAGGAAACCCACTCCCCACTAAGGTGGTTCAGTCTATTTTTGGATAGCCCTAATTACAGAATCACTGAGTCTGAAAGTTGGAAGAGGTCTCAGCAGCCATCTAGGCTAAACACTACCCAGAGCTCCCACTTTAACACACCCCACAAGTGGCTATCCAAGGATCTGCAATAACTAGTAACTCACAATTGGTAGGAAGTTTTTCCTTATTTCTAGCCTAAATTTTCCTTTTTGCTACTTCTACCCTGTTGCTCCCTGTTCTCTGGAGCTAAACAGAAAATAATTCCCCTTTAATGAGACACTTCTTCAGGTACTTAAACATAGCTATCTAGTCCTCCTCTGTCTTTTAGGCTAAATAGCTCTAGTTAATTTAACCCAAATTCCTATGACTTGGACCCAGGGCCCTTCACAATCCTGCTTGCTCTCTTCTAGACTCTCTCAAGTTGATCCTTGTCTTCTTAAACTTTGGCACCTAGAACTGAAAACAGGATTCCACATGTGGTCTGACTATGACAGAATGCACTGGAGCACCTTCTTCCTTGGGTATAGGCCTCTCAGTGTAGCCCAAGATTGCATTTTCTTTTTTGGCAGCAGCTTCACACCATTGAGCTTCCAGTTCACTAAAGCCCCTAGATGCTCTTCAGATGAACTGCTACTTCAACACACTTCCCTCATTTTTTATTTGTAAAGTCGAGTTTTTGAACCTAAATATAAAACTCAGCCCTCTTAAATTTTATCGAACTAGATTCAGCCCAGCGTTCTGGCCTTTCAAGATCTCTTTGGAACTTAACTCCGTCATACAGAGTATCAGCTATCATTCCTAGTTTTGTGTCATTTGCACGTTTGATAAACATACCAAATATACATTTATCCATGACATTGATTTTTTAAAAATTTAAATGGCACAGGGCCAAGCACAGGTAATTGTGGCACTCCACTAGTCTTCCTTCCAATTTGACATGAAAATGTTAGTGGACTACTCTGAGTGTACTCATTCAACCAGGACTGAATCCACATAATTGTATTATTATCCAGTCCATGTCTAGCTTTTCCACAAGACTAGTATGAAGCATTCTGTCAAATGCTTTGCCAATTTGGCATTCCTCCAGTCTGCCAGTCTAGCTACCCTGTGCTTCTTTAAAAAGGTGCAGAAAATCATGCAACTGTTCTGAGAAGATCCACTACAAATTTGTGTTATACAATGTCAACTGGGCCTTCACTGCTGTTGGGCAATCCTACTATA